AAGGCCTTGAAACCAACCCTAAAACCCTCAGCCCTAGGCTCTAAGCCCTAAATACAGCCCTAAAGCCCTGAAACCCTGAACCCTAAAGTTAACCCTAAACCCTAAACCCTAAACCCTAAACCCCAAACCCCAAACCCCAAACCCTAAACCCTAAACCCTAAGCCCTAAACCCTAAAGCCCTGAGACCCCTTCTATCTGAGGTGTCGGTTCCGCGAACGACCGACGCATGCGCACTCACTGAGATGTCCAAGCTCAAGGTCGATTTCGAGGCGACTTAGGGTTTAGGGTTTAGGCTTTAGGGTTTGGGGTTTAGGGTTTAGGGTAAACCCTCAATAAGTCTGAGGGTTTTCGGCGCTCAGGTTCCAGGAGTTTGGGCTTTCGGGGTCCGAGGTTTCAGATATTGATTGTGAGGGTTTGGGGAGTTGTAGGTTTCTCGGTGTTCGGCTATTTGGGCGCAGGAGTTTAGCGTCTTATATAGCCCCAAACCCTATGCCCTAAATCCCAATGTTCGAGTTTAGCGTTAGATCCTAATTTCACGAACCATTATGCTGATGCAGGTCTCGGGAGGGGTCCAAGGGTAAACCCTAAACCCTAAGCCCTAAAGGGTTCTGGAGCTTCACGTCCCGGAGGCGGCCGGAAGTCACAATTGAACGTAGCTGCTTGCTGTGTCAGGCCTTGAGAACGATCCTCATCCAACTCTACGGCTCCAAGGACAAGGGTGTAGGGCTTTTGGGGGTTCTAGGGTTTCAGGGTTTGAGGGTTTTGTTGGTTTTGTTTTGGGTTTATTTTATTTTTTTGAGGGGGGGGAGTTCAAAGTATGGTGCCTGCTTCCCGCATTCCATGCTTAGAACCAGTAAAGTTCCCTAAGCCCTAAATCCTAAACCCTAAACCGAGGGCTTCTAGGGCTCCCCCAATTTTCGAAACAGGGCAGTGGCATTGCGCATGCCCACTAGGACCTCGCATGGACTAACATGGCCTGTGCTGGTACGGGATCAGAGTCCAAACAATAACCCCTAAACCCCTAAACCCTAAACCCTAAATCCCCGCCCCCCTCAAATCCTGAGCCTTTTAATCCTCCCAAACCCTCGAAAGCCCAAACCCCTTTAAACCCACGACTCCAGATTCCAAACTTATGAACCCTAAACCCTAAGCCCTAAGCCCTAAGCCCTAAGCCCTAAGCCCTAAGCCCGAAACCCTAAACCCTAAACCCTAAACCCTAAACCCTAAACCCTAAACCCTACCCCACATCGAAGGACTTCCTGAGGGACCACTTAGGATTTATCGCTGACGAAGCGGCCAATCCGGTGCTCGCCGAGGTTGGGCTCGGAGAGGGTTTAGGGTTTAGGGTTTAGGGTTTAGGGTTTAGAGTTTAGGGTTTAGGGTTTAGGGTTTAGGGTTTAGGGTTTAGGGTTTAGGGTTTAGGGTTTAGGTTTTGGGGTTTAGGGTTTAGGGTTTGGGGTTTGGGGTTTAGGGTTTAGGGTTTCGGGTTTAGGGTTTAGGGTTTAGGGTTGAGGGCTCCCGGCTTCGGGTTTGGGTGCTTGGGGGTTCAGGAATTTGGGTTCCAGGGATTAGGGTTTATCGTTCAGAGTTTTAGGGGCTTAGTTTTTTTTTTGGGGGGGGGTGGGGGGGTGGGGAGGTTTTTCAGGCGTACCCGACACCCTAAACCCTAAACCCTAAACCCTGAACTCTAAACCTTAAACCCTAAACCCTAAACCCTAAACCCTACAAAAGTCTTTAGGGCTATGAGGCTCGAGGTCCGGGCCGTTTGGGATGTTGTGCTTCAGGAAAAAAGGCATGGCGCTTATGGGGGTTTAGGGTTTAGGATGCTGACCTAAATCTAAACCTCTAACCCTAAATCCTAAACCCTATTTACACCCTCTATCCTAAACCCTAAACCCTAAACCCTAAACCCTAAACCCTAAACCCTAAACCCCAGGCCTTCGTGGCTTTCAAGGAGGGCTGGGACAGTTTTCGCGAGACTGACGACCTGCGTCCCTGGCTCCGCAGGTAGGTTGAGGTTTAGGGTTTAGGGTTTAGGGTTTAGGGTTTAGGGTTTAGGGTTTAGGGTTTAGGGTTTAGGCTTTGGGGTTTGGGGTTTGGGGTTTGGGGTTTGTGGTTTGGGGTTCATGGTTCAAGGTTTAGGGTTGAGGGTGTAGGGTTTAGGGTTTAGGTTTAGGGCTTAGGTACCCCAAGTCTTCAAGAGTTGAGGGAAGCTCCGAACATCTCTTCCTAGGATGCCCAGTAGTAGCCTTATTCCCTTTTTTGGGGGGGTTTAGGTTCCCTTATAGACCCCTTTAAGCAAAAAAGGGCACCCTTTTTAAGCCTTGGTTACTGGGCAGCCTAGTTTTTAGGTGTCCAAGTTCGATTCTCCTGAGCCTGAGGCTGGAAAAGATAGGGTTTTGGGGTTTCGGGTTTAGGGTTAGGGGTTGAGGGTTTTTAGGGTTTTTAGGGTTAGGAGGGGTTTGGAGGGTTTTTTTTGGGTTTTTAGGGTTTTTAGGGTTTTTGGCGTTTTTAGGGTTTTTAGGGGTTTTAGGGGTTTTTAAGGTTTTTAGGGTTTTCAGGGTTTTTAAGGCTTAGGGTTTAGGGCTTATAAGGTTTAGGGTTTAGGGTTTAAAGTGCTGAGGCTTGCAAGACCTGCAGATTGCCTACATCTACTCCAACCCTAACGCGGTTGGATCCAAAGATGCTCGGCCACCGGGGGGCCCCCCAAAGCCAGGGGGCCTCTTGAGTTCCCTAAGAACCCTGAGGATCTAAAACCTCCTGAACCCCTAAACCCTAAACCCTAAAGTCGCAACCCTAAACCCTAAACCCCTAACCCTAAACCCTAAACCCTAAACCCTAAACCCTAACCCCTAAACCCCAAACCCTAGACCCTAATGCTTGCTTAGGCCCCGCGACGGGCCAGAGCCCCTGGCCCACACAAGTGTGGTGCTTTAGGGTTTAGGGTTTAGGGACATCAGCATCCATGTTGTGTGCTGATCACCATCCTTTTGGTTTTTCTGTCTTCTACAAACCTTGCCGCGTTGGTCGGGGCTCATGTTATGGGATCTCTATACTGCCTTTTTTTTCATTCTGGCGCACGCGTCGGATTGTCATCAGTTTGCCTGGCTTGGCTGGGTAGGTCGCACCCGATGCTAGCTTTTTTTTCTGGACAAGTGACTCCTAAGCCCTAAACCCTAAAACCCTAAACCCCAAACCCTAAACCCCTAACCCCTAAACCCCTAAACCCCTAAACCCCTAAACCCCTAAACCCCTAAACCCCTAAACCCCTAAACCCCTAAACCCCTAAACCCCTAAACCCCCTAACCCCCTAAACCCCTAAACCCCTAAACCCCTAAACCCCTAAAAACCCTAAACCCCTAAACCCTAAACCCCCTAAACCCCCCTAAACCCCTAAACCCCTAAACCCCTAAACCCCTAAACCCCTAAACCCCTAAACCCTAACCCCTAAACCCCTAAACCCCTAAACCCCTAAACCCCTAACCCCTAACCCCTAAACCCCTAAACCCTGAACCCTAAATCCACTAAGTGGCTTCCCTGGCTTCCCCCCAAAGGACAACTTGGACTACGCTGCAGGGCCTGAAAGCTGCTTGGACGAGGAATTTGGGTGGAGGGCCTATTCTTTGGGGTAGTTGTTTGTTTTTTTGTTTTTTTGTTGGGGGTGGGAGGGGGGGGGGTCGATTTTCTTGGTCCATTTTCTTGGTTTTTCCTAGGAAAACCTCCACTCCTTCTGCATTTTGAGGACATCGTTCCCTTCCGTAGGTTAGAAAGAAAGACAGCAAGAAAGAACGAAACGACTAAATACAGCAAGAAAGAAAGAAACAAGGAAAGCTGGCGTACGGGCTCGTCGCCATTGAGAAAAACCTGCAAGCGCTGCTAGCACCAAGAAGACGTGCTATCGACGCGTCTAAGTCTTTGGGGGTCGAGAGGGTATATGAAGCAGGGTTTATATTTCTGTTTTTGGTGAGTGTATATAAGGCTCCTTTTTAATATTGGTGAGTGTATATACCTGGTGTCCTTTTGGGGGTACAAGAAATATATACCCTACTTCATGTAGGGCTTGAGTTTTTTCGATACAGCCCTAAACCCTAAACCCCTAAACCCTAAACCCCTAAACCCCTAAACCCCTAAACCCCTAAACCCCTAAACCCCTAAACCCCTAAACCCCTAAACCCCTAAACCCCTAAACCCCTAAACCCCTAAACCCCTAAACCCCTAAACCCCTAAACCCCTAAACCCCTAAACCCCTACACCCCTACACCCCTACACCCCTAAACCCCTGAACCCCTGAACCCTGAACCAATATTTGTGCAGCAAGCTCCAGCCTGTAAACCCACGGACGTACTCGTCGCATTCGCTCACCACGCCCGGCTCGGCAGCTTTTGCTTCCAGCCCAGAGAAACCAGGAGGCAAGGAGTGGACAAAGGCACTGGGGCATGATGCCCAGGCATATATACATGTATATATATATATATATATACATATTATATATATATATACATATATATACATATATATACATATATATATACATATATATATATATAGATATATATAGCTATCAAGGTATATATACACAAGACAAGGTAAGCTGCTGGGGTTGTGCACGACTCGTGCTTGTTATGCCTGTGGCTGTCAAGACCGCATCTGTGCCGTGCACTTGCTTCTCGCGGCGTGGCCTACCCGCCTCGACTTTCGGACTTCAACAACTAGGATGCCCGGTAGTACCCTTATTACCTTTTTGAGGGGTTTAGGTTCCCTTATAAACCCCCTTAAGCAAAAAAGCGCACCCTTTTTAGGCCTTGGTTACTGGGCAGCCTAGACAAAACATGTAGACGCTGAATATGTTGACAGCAGGATCATGAGTATTATTGCAATCTGCGTCCCCGCAGACAGAGAGAGTACTTTTGCCTGTGTCCCGGGTTTGACAGCATGCCAATCTCCTTGCCGCGATCTTATCTATTAGACCTGGCGCATGAGATTCAGAGAGTTATAAGGTGTCATGAGATTGATGATGTGCGAAAAGAAGGGCCTCGCAGTACTCGTTTTTCCTTATTCTTTTCATCCTCCTTTCGCTCCCGCAATCTTATAATGGCAGCCGCATCAAGCTTTCTCGCACCGCAGTCCGCGCAGTTCGTCTTCTCGTTGATCTGAAGCTTTCCTCTCCGTTGCATCTTGGCCCTGCCTGGTTGGTGGAGCACAGGATGGAACGCCCCCCGCTGCTCTTTGAGGCAGGTCGTTGGCGACCCGTCCATGCTTTGCTCCGCTCCATGCGTGTTGTACACGCAGCCGGATGGCGCCAGCGAACCCGGCCATTTCGAGCGGTCCATTCTCTTGCCTCCGGGCCTCAGACAACAGCGCGAGCCGTTCAAGACCCACGCCGATGTCTCTGCGTCGCCCTCGGCTGGTGCCAGTGCACCATGTATGCATGGTGGATTCTAATGGTAATATGAAGGTGAACACAACTCACTTCATTTTTCCTTTTACTTTCCACGCGGGCGTGAATTGACTATGTTATTTGCCCGCCCGTTAACTCCTAATGAAATAGTAAACAAGAAAGCGAAGCGTGAATAGATAAATTTCATGCCAACGCCTTAACTCCTGCTGGCTGTTGCGTTACAAGGATCCCTCTTTTAGCAACCGACGGAAACAGGGGCCCAGCTTAGCAGTTAGGGTGCGGGGTTGAATGGAAAACCTAAACCTTGAAAGATGAATACACTGACCCGTGAACCCTGGACCCCAAACCCTAACCTGAGACCTGAACCCTAATCCCTGAACCGGGGATTAGAGTTTGAGGGCCCGCTCTCTGAACCATATTCCTGGTACTCAGTTCTCGGCCCCAGAACGTGCCGCAGTCAAATGGCTTAAGGACAAGGTGTCTAAAGTCTACAGGCTTTGGGCTTTGGGTTTAGGGTTTGGGAGTATTTCTAGTGGTCTTAGGAGTTGAGGTCTCGACTCGCGCTGAGGTTGTGGATGTGTTCGGGGCTTCTGCGTTTCAGGGTAGCGTTGTGGTGTTTGAGGAACTCGTTACGCCGAGGGGCGATCGGGAGTTACATGAGCGAGTCCACAATGTTTATGTGAACCCTGAACCCTGAACCACAGACCCCCGAAACCCTTATAATTGCCCTTAGGCCAGGTTGGGCCACTAGTTGCCGGTTTTAGGGTTTTTTGAGGGTACGAAATAGGATAGCACCTCGCATGGCTGTCAGAGTTTCAAGGGCTTGCCAGGGCCAAGCCCTAGAACCCTACGCGCTACACCCTAAACCCTATGCCCAAAACCCTAAGCCCTAAGTCTTGAGCCCTAAACCCTAGGCTACCACGTCGCCCACCGCGACTATCACCCGATCTACCGCGACATTCTCTATGCCCGCCCGTGGGCTGCACTTGAAGGGTTTAGGGTTTAGGGTTTAGGGTTTAGGGTTTGGGGTTTGGGGTTTATGGTTGGCGCGGGAGTGCCGGGTTTAGGGTTGAGGGTTTAGATCGTAGACCCTAAACCCCTAAAGCCTTTTTGCCGAACATTCCAAAGTGCCTCCGAGCAGTGTTTAGGCTTTCGGATTCCGGTTTAGGGTGTGTTTTTTAGTCTTTTCTTGGGGGGGGGGGGGGGGGAGTGAGGGGGCAAGCCTGAGGTTGTACCCTTGGGTTTGGGGACCCTTTTTTACGATCCGCTGGGGGAATCGAAGGGCGACACTATGAGTACACTAAGGGAACATGGTAGGAGTACACACATCACATCCTTTGGGGTCCAGAGTGTGACTCCCGTGATACTGTGGCCTTTGGAGTTCTTCCGGTTAGGGCTTCAGTTTTTGCTCTGGGGAAGGGGGGGGGGGGGGTGGCGGCTGGGTTTTGTTTTTTTTGCTTCTGGCTGTGGTTAAGAGGGCTGGTCCCCCCTAAACCCTAAACCCTAAACCCTAAACCCTAAACCCTAAACCCTAAACCCTAAACCCTAAACCCTAAACCCTAAACCCTAAACCCTAAACCCTAAACCCTAAACCCTAAACCCTAAACCCTAAACCCCTCAACTCTACACCCTAGAACCTGGGGGCTGCTTGTTAGCAGGTTCTATACGATTCCACACCCAAACTCCCGAACCCCTCTCCCCCGTTCAGCTCTTCAGGGTTTAGGGTTTAAGGCTTTTGGGGGTTTTAGGGTTTTAGGGTTTGGGGTTTAGGGTTTTAGGGTCTTAGGGTTTTAGAGTTTGGGGATTTAAGGCTTAGAGTCTAGGGTTTAGGGTGTTAGGGTTGAGGGTTTAGGGTTTAGGGTTTAGGGCCAGGGCCAAAAGGTTCACCGGGCAAGAGGACCAAGGAGTCAGTGTTTGCTGACGCCCGGATGCTAGTCATGCCAGATATGGCGGCTCAACCGCTTCGACTGCCGGGGGTAAGGGTTCGGGCTTAATGTTTAGTGTTTCGGGTTTAGGGTTTAGGGGGGGGAGGGCATCAAAAGGAAGCAGGTGAATGTCATGGCTGAGGGTGTGCGGGAGGGGTGGGGTGTTTCTGAAAGATTCTGTAAACCCTCCTAAACCCAAAGCCCCAAACCCTAAAACCCTATACCCCTAAACCCTCCTAAAGCCCTGAACTCTGAAGTGACGAACTCCAAGGAAACTACTATGACATTTTCATCTTCGACCTGGAAGGAAACCTGATTTACTCAGCGGCTGGGCATCGGAGAGTCCCCTGAACCCTAAACCTAAAACCCTACACCCTAAAAGGGTTCAGGGTTTAGGGTTCCTAAACCCTAAACCCTAAACCCTAAACCCTAAACCCTAAACCCTAAACCCTAAACCCTAAACCCTAAACCCTAAACCCTAAACCCTAAACCCTAAACCCTACACCCTACACCCTACACCTTAAACCCTAACTCAAGCCAGCCCCGTTAAAAGATCCTAAGCCCTAATGTTTTGGTTCGCGGGTTTGGAGGCTGTAAAGAGGCGGAATTCGTCCTGAAGAGGACGCCCCACCCGGGCCCTAAAGCTTCTCCAAATCCTCAGCCCTAAGCCCTAGTTAAAACCCTAAACCCGAAGCCCCAACTCTCACAAGGAGTCGGAATGGGTGGTAAGGCCCAGGGGTCTGGAGGGATTCGAGAAGGGACCCTTGGGGGGGTTTCAGGGTTTAGGGTTTAGGGTTTAGGGGTTAGAGCATAGGGCTGGTTCAGGGTTGCAATATGGATCACTTGGCGGTTCATGGTACTTACTAACCAATTATAACTGGGCTTATAACCCTACTTATAACTGGGAGAACCCCTATAAGGGCCTCTAGGGGCATTACACGTAGGGTTTATAAGTCCAGTTATAAATTGGTTAGTAAGTACGAAGAACCTCCAAGCATGTAGGGCGGCTGTATGCGCACCTCAAGCTTCGAGATCTATCATCAGCATGCCTTTGGTGCAGTTTCTTTTCTTTTTTTGTTGGGGAGGAGGGGGAAGGGGGGGGGAAGGGGGGGGTAGGGTATCAGTATTCAGGGTTTAGGGTCTTTAGGGTTTAGGACCTTGAGCCCTAAACCCCGAACCCTAAACCCTAAACCCTAAACCCTAAACCCTAAACCCTAAACCCTGTCGGTTTCTCAGGTGTACAAGGAGCTGGATTATGCCACCAACTTCCATGGCAATGGCACGGGTCAGTGGAAGGACTCCGGTCTTGGTGAGGCGGAGACGCGGCCATGACCTGTGTGGGTAGTTTAGGGTTTGGGGTTTGGGGTTTGGGGTTTGGGGTTTGGGGTTTAGGGTTTAGGGTTTAGGGGTTCTCGAAATGAGGGTCCCTGTTTGGGTCCGTAGTTTCAGGATGCGGGGCTATCTAGGGGACCCGTAAAGGGACCTTAATTTTGAACTAGCCAATAAACCCCGAACTTTAAACCATTGCAGCCCTCAACCCTAAACCCTAAAGCCCAAGCCCTTAACCCTTGTAGCCCTAAACCCTAAACCCTTAAACCCAAACCTAAAGCCCAAACCCTAAACCCTTGTAGATTGGGTCGTCGTCTTCGAAGTTGCGGTGGGCTCCGCATGGATTCAAGGGCTTCAGTTCTTGGGGGAGTCATGGTCCATGGCTTGGCGGGCTTGCTGGGTTTAGGACAGCCCGTTTAGGGCTTATAGGGGCTTGTAGGGGCTTTAGGGCTTTAGGGCTTTAGGGCTTTAGGGCTTTCGGGCTTTCGGGCTTTCGGGCTTTAGGGTTTCGGGTTTAAGGTTCACGACAGCCCATCTTAGGGCTTCAGGGCTTGAGGGTTTCGGGTTTAAGGCTTACGACAGCCCCTTCAGGCATGAGGCTTGGGCTTGTGTTTCATGTTGCGCTGAGGACCGTCATCGTTTTTTGTGAACCTTTGGCAGTCTCTCAGGTGTAAAATCATATGTATACATAGACATGTACATACACATCTACATGTACATCGGCATATGCATGCACATACATCTTCGTAGGAGTGTAGTGGGATGAGAAGAGTCGCACTCCTTGCGTTGAATTGACAGGGCTTAGCCGGAGGGATGGGAGACTGCCGGGAGCCTCACACCGAGTTGCCGCGCTCCCCTTTAGCCTCCACCCCTCCACCCTTTAGGACTTAGAGTTTGGGGTGTAGGGCTTAGGGTTCAGGGTTTAGTGTTTGGGAGATTGCCGGGAGATTCCCAGGCGTACACCTTAGATACTTCAAGGCTTCCGGAAGGAGTACTATGCAGCATCATGCACCTGTTTGGATGTTCCCCCTTAAACTAGCAGCCCTCAACAGGGATGATAGTACCCCCTACCATAATCCCGATTAAGGACTGTTAGTATGAGGGAGAACATCCCCAATTCGCCTCACTCACTACTTGTGCTCTTTCGGCTGCCCTGAACCCTAAACATTGAGATTTTTTGTTGTGGCCAGTTAGTGGATGCATGGTTCCACATAAGGCCCTGAAGTCACCCTAAACGGGTAGGGTATTTTTTTTGTGTTTTTTTCTGGTTTTTTTTTGTGTTTTTTTCCGTTTTTTAAGCAAGAAAGAAAGGAAGACAGAAAGGAAGAAAGAAAGAAATAAAGAAAGGAAGGAAAGCAAGACAGAAAGAAAGAAATAAAGAAAGGAAGGAAAGCAAGACAGAAAGAAAGAAATAAAGAAAGGAAGGAAAGCAAGACAGAAAGAAAGAAAGAAAGGAAGGAAAGCAAGACAGAAAGAAAGAAAGAAAGAAAGAAAGGAAAGAAAGAAAGAAAGAAAGAAAGAAAGGAAGAAAGAAAGGAAGAAAGAAAGAAAGAAAGGAAAGCAAGACAGAAAGAAAGAAAGAATGAAAGGAAAGCAAGACAGAAAGGAAGAAAGAAAGAAAGAAAGGAAGGAAAGCAAGACAGAAAGAAAGAAAGAAAGAAAGAAAGGAAGAAAGAAA